CCTTGGTCAGACACAGAAGTTTCTTTTTTTCTTTGTGCAGGAAAAGATTTTGACACAGTTTCTTCTAAACTGAAATACTTCCACACCTTAAATGAGCCAGCCTAAACACTGTGTGTGGGGAAATTCTCACACCTCAGGCTTTCCCTCACATGGTAGCTTTTAAAGCCCTGTACCATGGTGCCTTTTAAAGCCCACACAAGTCTTAATGGCTGGTTTTGGCTAGAGTTATAGAAATTCCAGATAAATCTCTTAGGGGAAAAAAAATTCCCTAGTTTTGCATAATTCAGTTGTGCAATTTAATTATTGCACAAATTTTGCCCTGATACAGAATGTTGAGAATGACCTGTATTTGTTTTGTCTATGGAAGAAATTTCAGCTCCTGAAGAAGATGTGGAGGAAAAGCTTTTAAGTGGCCTTTAAAAAATGAGGTTGGGACCCACCTACAACTGACTTTGGGTTTATGAAGAGAACATCTTCATCTGCATGCTCCCAGAAATGTGACCTGGGAGTTGGGCAGCTGAGCTGCTTGAGTGCTCCTGCCTGCTGGTCCTGGTCCTATCCATCAAGTTGATATCCTTCTTTTCAATTATTTTATTTCCACACCAGCTACTGGAAAAGCTGTAATTTATTGCAAGCCAGTATTATTTTCACACTTTCTTTGCAGCCAAATCTCTCTGTGCACTGTGATGAAGGGACCAGTGGAAGCAGCAAACCAAACCTTCAGTCTGGTTTTGGGTTTCCAGTTTTAGCTGGGTGTTCTGTTTTACCTGGATTTCGTCAAGAGCTCGGGGCAGCAGCTTTTGATGGGTCACAGCCTGTTCCCTGCACTGATCCAAGCTCCCTGGGAGGGACCTGGACTGGCAGGAAGATGTATGAAGGTTTTCATTAATAAAGGTCAAGATTTGTCTGTCTGTGAAATGTCTGAGCAGGCAGCCTGGCTTTGTTTACACCAAGCAGGGCCAGGGCTCTGCACTGTTTAATTTCCAGCACATTCCCCAGCCTGGTTTGATCCACAGCAAGCTGGCAGATGGCATGGCCTGGGTGATGGCCTTGCAGCCCTTCCCAGTGGGCACTGTGATATAACCACATTAATACTCTTTCTCTTGCCTCATGAAGTTGGTTTGTTTCTGAACTGGGAACCCTGTTTTGGGGAAAGATGGGCTGCATGGACTTGTCAGAGATGGAGGTGGGACCATTCTCCTCCCAGGGACTGTAGAGACAAAGTGAGACAGCCAAAGGGTACAAAGTGGGGCTGAGAAATGCTGGGCAGTGCTGATCCCATCCCACAGCTCCTGCCCAGACTGCAGGCAGGGGGAGGCTTAAGGCAGTGATCTGGAGGACAGCAAGACTTGGGAGAACTCCTCCTGTATGAAATTTAAGGTTTAATGTGTATGGTTTCTGCCCCAGCTCAGCAGGACCTCTCAGCACTCAAAGGGAGAGAGCCAGAAAAGCCAGTGTGAGGTTTGCTGCTGGAGAATCCCGTTCTCAGTGTGACCACAAGGTGGAACTTGGTACATACCACATGCTCTGCAGAGGCACCCGGTGGGAGCCAGCAGCAACATCCTTGCCCAGGGATGCATCTGGACTCAGCCCCCACTCCCTGATCCCCATTTCCCCACAGGGAGAAAGAGGGAAAGTGCTGGTGTAGAGGATCCACAGGCATTTTTTTTGCTGGAGGTGAGAAGCTGTGCAAACAGCAAGGCTTGGTTCCCAGAGCATGTGAGGGGTCACTGGGGAGAAGAAGCTGAGAGCAGTGAGTGGTGTCCTGGAGGAGAAGGAGGAAAGAGGGTTCTGCAGGTGGAATTTGTCAGGGCATGGATGAAGTGAAGAATGAGGGAAGGACAGGGACCCTGCAGATGTGGAAGGCAGCTTTCTGTCACATTCTTTAGTAAGAAGAATGACATCATGTAAAATGGACCATTTTTTTCTCCTCTTGGTAACAAATACAGGACAAGACACAGCCTTTAACCTCTTTAAAGGGAAAATCTCCCCTGAACATGACATTTATTATTTGATATGTAGTTCCCATAGGCATTACTAGTTCTAATTTGCATCATGTGCATGATGTGATGGGGAAATGGTGAGGTCATCACCAGCAAAGGTATTTTTATTCTAAATTATTACAAGTCTGGGCAAATCAGCAGCTGACTTTTGTCATGTCATTTTTGTCAATGTGCCCTAAAGAGACTGTTATCAGAATTAGGGTTGCATCACTTTTGGTGTTGCCTAAATATGATGGTGGTGAGAGAACAAGTGCAGCCCTAATAAAGAACACAAAAGCCAACCTGCTTCCCCCAGTGTGAAGTGGTAATAGTGCTTCCTTAGCTCCCATGTGAAAGGATGTGATGGAGATTAATTAATTTTGGAAAATCATCTGAAGAGCAGCCTGTGGACTGTAGTGTTCTCACACAGCCCATTTCCTACCAGACACTGCAGCCACTCCATCTGCAAGTGCCTGTTTCCTGAATATTCACTTTCCTGGATATTCACATCACTCAAACCCTTTGCTAACTTTGGGACTGTTCTGCCATCCTCATTCCCATTGATTTCCATTTGCTCTGTGAGTAATCCAGCTGGAATCAATAGGGAGATGAGCACAGCAAATCCTGGGCATGGGGACGTGGATAACTTCACTCATGTGACCAGGGCCATTTATTTAATTGGGATTGGTAACATGGGTAAAACTGCACGACCCACTGAGGTGCAGTTACCTGCAGTGAATAAGGCTTGAAGAATCTTTCCACGAGCCATTTACAGGAATCACTTCCTCCCATGCAGGAGTGTGACAGCAGCATGGTGTAACATCAACACCCATGTCATCCTTGCCCATCAGGCTTCTTCTGTGAGTTGTGACATTGTCTTTAAATGACCTCAAGACCACAATAAATCCAGCTCAGTCATTTCCCAGAGCAGGGAATTTCTGTCCCGATAATCTCATCTTCATTTTAAAAACAAAGTGATTTGAACTGCTTTGCATCTCTGAAGTCTTCACAACAGCAGAACTTGCACATTGCTGTTCTGGAGATGTCGCGAAACTCATTGCATGCTGACCCTGTGCTTAGTGTGTGAGCAAACTTCAGGGCTCAGTGCAGTAAAATGCTCTCCAAGGGCAAGGAAAGCTCTGAGCAGAGCTGTCACTGGCAATGCAATTAGGAATTAATGAGAAAGTGAAGCACAGGGGCTCTATGTGTTCCCAGATCAATCCCTATGGGATGCTGGTTGCTGCTGGACAGGAGAGCTGGTGCATAGAAGCAAATTGTTTTGCTAAGGCAATTACAGGAGACTTCCCCACTCCTTTAATTAGATCAGGCCTCTCCAAAGTGCACAATGTGAAATATGGGATGTGCTCAGAGACTGATAGCTAATAAATATCATCTAGCCATTACGTCATGCTGCTCGCCTCCTTGCCAGGGCAAAACAAAGCCCCCAGCTCCCAGGGGAGTGCTATGGAGATTACACCTCCAAATCCAGCCCCTGTCTGTGCAGGGGGCCCAGAAAGGCTGGAGGTGTTTCCCAAACACCCACTGACAATCTGGCTAACATGTTCAGCAGTGTCCCATCCAGAAACTGCCTTTATTCTCCTTTGCAGTCTGTGATCTGCAATGGCTGTGTGTAAATAAAGAGTTATTAGATGTACTGCTGTTCAAGGCCATGCAATGGCTGTGTCTTGTCCCCTGAGAGTCTCTCACCTGTGGTGTATGGCAGTGATTAATGGCTCTGACCCTGTCCTTGTGCTGATCAAACAACCCAGTGCTCTGTGAGGGCTGGTAGGGCTTCCTTCAAACTGCTGAGAAAGAAGGGGAAATGTCTGGATTGACAGACACCAGAAACAGAGATAATGTTTATAAAACCTGTATTGACTATGATGAGGGGCTGGTGATGGGGAGCCTTCATTTAGGTTGAAAACAGTGGCTAAAACAGTGTGGTTTGATATCAAGTGTAATGGATATGTGCTGATTCTGCAGTAAGGGACATTCACCCCTGTTTGACCCATGTCCCTGCAGTACCTTCACCCTTACAGCAGCAGCTTGCAAAGGCAATGACAAAAAAAAAAAAAAAGAAAAAAAAAGAAAAAAAAACCAGTCTGCGACAAGGTGTGTGTGTATAGCTGCTGTTTTCCCCTTCAGAAAAGGTCATGGCTAGGGGAGAAATGGATTTTAGCCCCAGCCATTGCCAGGACAATGGGGAATGGCTGTGAGTTTCAACAAAGGAAATGTATATTGGACATAACATAGAAATCCTTCTGAAAACATCTGAGCTTTTGTGTGGATATCCGAATTGGTTTTGGAGTCTCTGTCCCTAGAGATATCCAAACTCACCTGGACAAGGCTGCAAGCAACCAGATCTACCTTTGAAGGTGACTTCACTTTGAATGGGTGGTTGAACAAGAGAGCCCCAGAGGTTCATTCCAACCTGAATTATTCCGTGATTCTGTGTAATCAGTCACTTGTAAAATCCCTGAGGAGGCTTATTCTTATATTAGAGTGAAGGGCAAATCTGAATGACAATAATAAACCCAAAGCTATGCAGAAATGTGGGGTCAGTGACTCACCCAAGTCACACACAGGAAATCGGTGGCAGAGAAGGCGCTCTCCGCACTCTTAGGAAACCACTCTTTCGTTGGTGGAAAAGGAAGAGGATTAAAACTGAGTTTCCGAGAGCATCGTTTGGGTCCCGTGTGCCCTGGCTAGGAGGTGTTTTAGGCACCTTTCAGTGCCGGGCAGCTGCTCAGAAGAGAAAGGTGGAGCCAGGCTCGCTGCGGGCAGCACACGCTGACAAGCCCAGGACACTGATTAGGAGCCGCAAACAATATCCGCGATTTCTCCACCCTCTGGAAAAGATGCGTAAAATCCCGCTGGTGGAAAACTTGTTCCCGATACCTGGGCAGCTGCCGGCAGGCTCCTCGGCTTGAGTTTGCATCCAGCGTGTGCAGCAGGAGGAGAGACTCACCCGGTCCCACCCCCAGCCGGACTCTGCCCTGCCCTGCCCGCCCGCGCTGCCGCCGTCCCGCCGGCCGCTCCTCGGAGCCCCGTGTGACACCGCCGGAGCTCCTGGATGAGCAGGGACCCCCGCAGGGGTGGCACGGCCCTCCCAGCCCTCCCGACGGCCGCCGAGCCCCAGGCTGGATCATGCAGTGCATCTGCAGGCAGCCCAAGCGCACCGCGTCCCAGGAGAACATCCTGCTGGAGCAGAGCCGCAGAGTGGCCGCGCTGAACGGCATCAGGCTGGGTAAGGGACAGGGACAGGGACAGCGTGGGCACACCCGGCAGCCGCTTCCCTTCTCGTTTCCCTGCGCAGTTGAGTGCTCCGCCCTGAATCCAGCGTTATTTTTAAATTCCCAAGGTTTCCTTTGTTTTCGGTTGCTTGTAACCACACGCCAGATGTGTGAACAGTTGGAGGCATCAGAGAGTGTGGGCAAAGGCTTGGTTCCTAAATCTCTTGGTGGGTTTCTGCCCTGCCTCTGATTGAGGGTGTTTGGGGCGGGCAGTGCCATTCTCCTGCCCGGTTTCAGCCCTCGTTGCTGTAAGAGCCCAGGGAAGGAGGCAGAGGCTGCCGATGAAAGAGGAAACCCGGGGAGTTTCATAACTTGTGTGCCTGGCTATGAACTCACTGCTTGTTCCTGCTCTCCGGAGGCACAGCCCGAGTGGATGCAAGTGGGAAATAGCCATTTACTCACCCGAGTTCCTTAGATTTTATAAGAAGGGCTTTCTGCCCTTTTAAACCAGCAAACTTGAGTTAAATCTGGTCTGTAAGCAGGCAGGAGGAGACTTGTTTTATAGCAACTGTAATTAAGTTCTATCAGATCAGCAGATTTGTGAGAACAGTGCAACAATACAGATTAACACTGCCATCCTCACGAGCTCCTCAGTGAGCTCCTAGCATGACAGCTATTGTTTTATTGGGCTTCCTGCTTGCTGTAAGCCTGAGCTACATAAACCAAAGGTTAACATTTCTGATATCTCAGTGGCTGAAGCTTCCTAGTGCAGTGTATCAACACGATGGTTATTGTGGTGCCGTGTGTGCTCAAGGCACTCCTACCTTGGCCAAACATGATTTTCGCTCTGAACATCACGGTGTGCTGAATATATTCTGTTCAGAAAGTGTGTGATTGATGTTTTGTAAGTAGGGGGGTCCTGACCCTTGAAAGGCACTCTGGAATTTTGCATGCTAAGTGTGTATTTGGTATTTTACAGAGGATGCTAAGCAAGACACAGTCTTGTCACATGCTTCAGGCAGGATTTGCATGTCTATTTCAGTGCAGAGATTGTGCTTCTTATGCTAAGTGTTGTTATATAGTTGGGAGTCAATATCCTTGTCCTGTTGCACAGTGTTCTTAACTTTTACATGATGCATGTGTACAATATGAATGAGTCTGGTTTTCATTGCTGTGAGATGGAGCTCTGGACCACAAACCTCCTCAGCTTCAGGCTTTGAGCAGTCTGGTCTAGTGGAAGTGTCCCTGCCCATGGCAGGGGGGTAGAATGGGATGACCTGTAAGCTTCATTCCAACCCAAACCATTCCATGATTCTCCATGGGGTTGTTAGGAAGAAATCTTCATGTTTCTGCTGGGAAAAGGTGGTTTGTTTGTTTTTTTTTTTTTACGGAAAAGCAGTTCAAACAACCAGCTGAGAGTAATGTCCCACTGACACATCAGGGTGTGTTTGTGGTATCAGCAGATCAGAGTGTCTTTTGCTGCACTATGGCCCAACAAAAAGCAGGTAGGAACACAGAAGTTAAGTGACTCACCCAAGGAAAGAGTCAGTGCCAGTGCTTGCTTGGGCACAGGAGGCAGAGCCTGAAGCACTGGGAAGAAGAAGGGGAATTTTGACCATGCTATTACACTGACTGGGCTGTGCTGGTGAATAGGATGAAGGGCTCTGAGCTCCAGCTTGTGTCTGAACTCTGTGGTTCAAGCCTGGAGGACAGGAATCTGCCCTTGGCCACCGCCCATCCAGATTTGTCTTTTTTACATTGGTGCAGTTCTTTGGGATGTCCTGGTAGCAGGACACGTTACAGATGCTGCACACAGGGTCTGTGGAACAAAACATGCCCTGGTTAAATGGAGTCCTCATTCCACACTTACAAACATCAGCATCCAAAGGATTTGTTGGGTTTCCTGCTCTCCTTGTCATGCCACCCCAGGATGACTTGTCTTCCTCCTAGTCCTGTAATGACTGAGAGTGGTTGGGATCTGAAGAAAAAGAAGGAATTGAGCTGGGAGCTGGGATAGAAATGTGGGTGAATATGGAGAAGGGAGAAGTTGGTTTCCTCTCCAGGGATGTTAGTGAGGCTGCAGTCTGTGCACTTGGAGGACATTTGCCTTAGAGCAGAGCTCTAAGTCAGCTCAGGAGACCAAGAACCTGTGAAGCTGCTGTGGTGTGTGTCCTTCCTCCAGATGATCTGGCCTCTCATCAGCCCCTGGGAATGCTGTCCCAGGTCCCATAGCTGGCCTCACCTTGTCACCCTTCTGTGCTTTGCAGGATTCAGATTTTTTTCTTCTCTCCATTATTTTTTTCCGAGGTTTTCTGTGGGGGAATCATTAAAATTGCCCTCTTAGGAACCTCCAGACCACTCATGAGCTGGGGAGCCAAGTAGTGCTGTAGCAGGGAAGACAATTAATCAGATGTCCATTTTAACTTTGAGGAAAGAGAGAGGCCAAAGGCACCTTTGCAGGATCTGCAGCTTGTACTCTGATGCTTTCAAGTCTGGATGTTTCAGCCTGGCTCAGCTCTGGGCGTGCTCCTTGAGCTCTGCAAAACCAATAAACAGTGTGAGCTGCTCACAAAGTGGACAATGGACACCCCTAATATTTATCTCTGATGTAAATCTCAGGCTTTGGCAGCCTAAAGTGCTCTCTTTAGGCCAGTGTATCCCAGTTACAAACTCACAGTGTAAAATGCTCTCTTTAGGCCAGTGTATCCCAGTTACAAACTCTCAGTGCTGGTTTTTGCTGCTGCCACCATGACCCACACTGGTGCTTTGCAGCACCTGGCACTTCAGTTTCCTGTATGGAATGTCAGGAGACTGGAATTTGGCCACTTGGATCTCAGGGTTTTGTTTTCCAAGCAGGCCTGAAGTGATGCCTGGTAGTTTCTTGTCTTGCCTTGTTTAAAATCCAGTGACTCAAAGCAGCTGTGTCTCCCAGAGAGGAACCAGCCCAACATCACAGGGGACACTGCACTGAAAAAATGTTATTTGTGAGACTCCACATTATATTTGTGTAATGAGGAATGTCCCTGGAGTTGAGTGTCAGGTGGCCAAGTGGCTCCCTGCGCTGTCAAGGTGAGGTAAGAAAAGTTTCCTCTGAGTTGGGATGTGCATGGTCAGCTCTGCAGAGTGAAATGCTGCTTCACCAGCTCTGAGCCAGCCTCTCATGCAGTGCCGCAGAGCTGCAAGGTGCCTGTTACACACAGCCCAGGATGGGTTTCTTGTGTTTCATGCTCTCCCTTCTCAGCCTGCATGCTTCAGATCTGTAATTAATGGTTGGTTTGAGGGACAGATTCTCCAAGGTATTTAGGTATGTGGAAGTCATGCACTGCTAGGACACTTAAAACCATGTAGAATGTCAAATCTGTTTTCAGAATCTCAGTAGGTGTCTGTTTCCTCTCTAGATGTCTCAAGTGCCTTCCTAAATCTAGGCTAAGTTGTGAAATCTCAAGTTCCCACAACCAGAAGGTTTGGTTATTACTTGACATTGCATTGGCCTCGTAGTGTAAGAAAGACAAAGACCCTTTGGATGGTTGAGCAATGAGGAGATCCTGGCTGCTCCTTTCTGCTGTCTTAGTGATCTGCTGCTGCCTGTCACCAAATCAAGCTTCATCTGATCTGCAGAATTCCCACATGGATAGGAAGGCACTGCTTGCCAGAGCAGGATGAGAGATATCTTTGTGTATTCCTGTTTCCGCAAAGGAAATTTTGTTGCAGAAGAGATCTGAAATCACTTGAAAGTTCCTGACAGCATTCCAGTTAGAAGTTATGCAATTTTCCTTTCTGTGCTTTTACTTCTCTGTTGTTGGTTTTGTTGTAGTTTTTTTGCATCCTAACAGTATTTTACCTTTGAGAAAGGTAAAACACTTGAGAATTACAACACAAAGTATTCAGACTCAGTCTGAGAAGCACACAAGGCTTCAGCCTCTTTTGTGATCATGAAATGGAGTGGAGGATTTCTGGGTCTCTGCTCTGCTCTCCTCCCCAGACCTGGCTGCCCTTGTGGAAGGGAAAACTCTTTTGAGCATCATTTCTTGAGCTATCTCTTAAAACATTACATTTCTCCACAGGCCTCAAAGATGACAAGGACCTGAAGTTCCTCCTGAAAGGCAGCCAGCTGCTAAAAGTGAAGTCAAGCTCCTGGAGAAAGGAGCGGTTCTATAAGCTCCAGGAGGACTGCAAAACCATCTGGCAGGAGTCAAAGAAGGTGCTGAGATCCCCAGAGTCACAGATCTGTGAGTAAAGTTTGCTTTGTCAGAGGTGCCTGGGGTGAACCAGGACCATTATGTGTTGTGGAGGGAGGGTTTGGAGCATGTGCAAACCCAGGGCACTGGGAATATTTCTGTGTCTGCTCTGGGGTACCCTGACCCCCCAGGGCAGCACTGACTCTGACCCTCATTCATGGAGAAAATTTCCTAAACTCCAGAATAGACTAGAATCCACTAAGGTGTGAAATAGATTATAGAGAGCAGTGTAGGTGTGTCACTTGGTGAGAAATTGAGGTTTTGGGATATTTGGTATGTTGTGGATGGAAGTAAGATGGAGGGCACAGGGTGTCATCCTGGGTTTCTTCTTCATGCTTCTTCTTCCTCCTTCTCCATGGGTTTGGGTGGCATTTTGTAATTGGGCAGAAAAGTCCCCATTGCAGCTCTGTGGGATCAGTTATTGGGTTAAAAGGGAAAATAATCCAGGTGTCAGTGCTTAATTGGATAGTTTAGTCTTAAAAGACCTTATAAGAAAAGATTGTTGGCCATTTTGTGCCTTGCTGCCAAACTCATGGTAGTGAGACTGTTTTACTGATAAGGAATAATAAACACTTGAGTCTGAACATGAACAATTGTCTCAAGTGCCTTCAGTCCAGACCCAGAGAAACCCAGAACTGGAACTGCCACAGGAGCAATGGGAGCAGGTCCCTCATTCCTCCTGTGACACACACACTGAGTGATGCTGTCACCCCTGGGACAGCCAGGAGGAATCTGCCATGTCAGGAACGGTCACATTGCCCAAGCTCAGGAGCTGCTGCCTCAGGTGGTTGTGGGGTGGGCTGTGCTGGTCTCAGCAGCCCTGCCTGCCTTGTTTCCTCCCCAGATTGTTCAGGTCACTCAGGTGTCTGAGTCCTAATGCTCTGTGTGAGCCATGGTGTGAGCACTTGTGATGTGGTGTGTGGCTGCTGCTCCTTTCCTGCCTGCAGCCCCAGGGAGAAATTGGCATTTCAGCCTCACAAGGGAACAGCAGAGATGTGAAAATCCAAGGGCTGACAGGAGATGTCTCTGGGAAGGACAGCCTATTCTCATCCTTACCTTGGAAACCCAGGATCTGCCCTATTATAAAAAGTCCAGATATTACAATCACCATTATATGGCACAGGAAAAACCATTTTGTTCCAGCAGCACCCAGCTTGGCACCATAACTGGGACCCCAGTTGAACCCAATTGTGCAGTCAAAGTGGAATCAGGCAGGGTGTGTCTGTTTATATCTTTCTTTTCCTTCTCATTCCATGTTTTTCTGACACATTTCTCTATATTTTCTGACTTTTTTTCTCTCTTATTTCACTAATCATTGTGGTGTTGTAAATCCAGGAGATAAATTAGCAACATGGACAATGCTTTATGGCATGTTGAAATGTGTTAATTACACAGGTTTTTTTTGTAATGATCACAATTAACTAAATGAAGGGTGGGTCTTTCAAAGTACCTCCCTTCCTCCCTCAAGCAGTGATAAGATTTCCAGTAGGAGGAGTAAAGTAACAGGGTAAAATATGTTTGGTTTGTAACCAAAGTTTTCTCACATCACCTTGGGCACCTCATTTAATCTCTGTGCATCCTTCTCCACACATTTTCTTTCTCTTCCCTCTAACTGTAAAAGGCTTTGGATCATAGAATCAGAAAGGTTTGGGCTTGAAGGGACATTAAAGATCATGGATCAGGGAGTTCCAACTCCCTGCCATGAGCAAGGACACCTGGACCAGGTTGCTCCAAGCCCCATCCAGCCTGGCCATGGACATTTCCAGGAATGGGGCATCCACAGCTTCCTTGAGCAACCTGTGCCAGTGTCTTGTCGCACTCTGAGTAAAGAATTTCATTCTAACATCTCATCTAAATCTCTCCTTTTTTAGTTTAAGACAGTTCCCCCTTGTCCATCACTATCTGCCCTTGTAAAAAGACCCTGTGGCTCCTTTTTTACAAAAGGGGAAGGCTGCAGTGAGACCTCTCCTGAGGCTTTGGGCTGGAGGCTGACCCCTCCTGAGTGTTTGGGTCTCAGCCTGGTGGGGTCCTGAGCTCAGCTGGGCTCTTCAGGTCCCCCAGGGCAATAACCCGTCACAACAACAACAAACACAAAGTCCTCAGTGGATGTTTGCTCCTGCTCTGCTGAGCTCTGTCCCATATAAAACCAAAGTCCTTTGCCACATCATATATATCTTTCTCTATATAATTTATCTTGCTAACATATCTCACTCTAAATCAAATAAAGGTGTGAGTTGAGAAGAATGACTTTCAGAGCTCCCTTTCCTGTGCTCTGAGCCAGCAGTTTCGAAATTATGGGGTCTGAGCGCCCCTACAGGAACAATCCTGACCCCACCCATTCCTTGGAAGTGAATGGGAAGGATCCTTGGGCTGTGGCTCCAGGAACCCTGATGTTTGCCTGGAGGAGGCATGTTTGCCAGGAGGATCCTGGTGGATCCATGGCTGTGGAGCTGGCATGGAGAAGGGCTGTAAATGGGATTGTTTAATAAAGACGAGTGAGATAAATCCTTTGAGCTGGGCTCTTCTCACAGTCTGTAGCTGCTCAGAGTGACCCCAAGATGTTCAGAAAGTCTCTTTTCCCAGGCCAGTGCTCGAAGAAGGAGTCAGAGCTCTTAATTTCTCATTCTTAAGGTTGTTTATTGTTTCTTATCTATAAAATTCTTTCTCCTGTCCAGCCAAGGTCCGTTCAGCAGGACAGTTCCAGGCACTCTGCCTGCCCTGGGGCAGTGTTATGTCTTTATATTAAAAACTACGTGTACAATATTTACAATCACTTTCCAATACCTATCACCTATGTTAGACAGTGAGCTTCTACTCTAAACCAGTCTAAAAGTGCCAACATCACAGCAGAAGATGGAGGCCAAGAAGAAGAAGGAGAAAGGCTGGACATGCCCAGATTCCTCCATCTTGCCCCCTGAACCCCCATTCTAAAAACCCCAAAAATCTATTTTTCACCCCATGATAACTTCACTGTCATTCTGCCTAAACTTTCATGGCTTGTAATTCTTCATATAAAGGTTGGTAATTGTTTTTTCCAAGGGCTCAATCAAAGGCACAGGGGTCTCGGGGTCTGTGCCAAGGTCTCTGAGCCCCCTGACAGGGTCTCACATCCTCCAGGGCAGCCAGAGGAATTCCCTGGGTTCCCAGAGGCTCTGAGCACAGGCTGGGGCTGCGTCTGTGTGGGTGTGGATTTACAGCACTCTGGTACACTTTGGTAGCTGGATGCTGCCAGCATTGCCACGCTGTGGTGCCAAGCTCTTGGCGGGGGTGGAGGGACAGCTGTAGGTGCTCTGAACACATCTGACCTGGAAGTCAATGAGAGAGATGAGCAAAAAGTACTCCTAAAAAGTCCTAACCCATGACATCAAAGAGGTCCATTTCCATAAAATCATAGAATGGTTTGGGTTGGAAGGGACTTGACCGTTTCCAGGGATGGGGCAGCCATGGTTTCTGTGGGCAGCCTGTGCCAGGGCCTCAGCACCCTCACTGTAAGGAATCCCAGCCTTGTAGCCAATCTAAACCTGCCTTCTGGCAGTGTGAAACCTTCCCCTGTGTCTCTTCACTCCAGGCCCTTTGACAAAAGTCCCTCCCCCGATCTCTTGAAGCCCCTGAAGGCCCTGGGAGGAGCTCTGATCTCCTGGAGCTTCTCTTCAGCTTGAGCACCCCCAGCTCTCCCAGCCTGTCCCCAGGGCAGAGGGCTCCAGCCCTTGGAGCAGCCTTGTGGAATATATTCATTTGTGGATGAATATATTTCATATATTATTATTATTATTATAATAATATATTATTATATTTCATATATATATTCATTTGTGGGGTCCTCTGGGCTTGCTCCAGCAGATTCACATCCTTGGAGGCCCTGGAGCTGCAGTGCTGCAGGTGCTGATCATGAGAGCAGAGGAGAGGGACAAAATCACTTCCCTCAACCTTCTGGTCATGTTTCTCCTTGCCTTTCTCTTTTGTTGATCCTCTGAGACCTTCCATTAATGAGTTTTCAGAGTGATTGTTGTGTTTGGGTTTCATTCTGGAGCTTTTAACTTCACCAGGCTGCTCTGGGTCCAGGTGCAGGGTGGGTTAACCCCAGCTCATGTTGTGGCCTCTGACAGGCTCTGTCACCCCATTTTTCTTCTCCCTTGGTCCAGTGAAGGCTGTCACAGCAGAGGAGGAGGGCAGGATCATGGTTTGAGACCCAAAATCAGCGTGAGTCTCTGCAGAGAGTCACCCTTCCTTGCTAACAAACACTGACTTTGCTCTCCAGGACAAAGACTTTCCAAAGCTGCAGATAAATTCCCTTTTCAGGATGGAAAAAAGGATGAGCAGAATGGAAACTGGGAGGTTTAGCAGCAGGTTTAATCTTATCTGCAGCATTGCTGACAGCAGTGGATGCACCTCAGAGGAGGGAAGTCTGGGTAATCTAAGGGTTATGGGGTTTTTTTGTTTGGATAATTTCTTGTTATTCCTGTTGTTGTTCTTATGGCCATGTGGAAAAGCTATTTGTAAACCATTGTATGATGGAGTACAGTAGATAAAGCTGAGGACTGCCAGGGTTGGACAGGAGAATCTCAGATGTTTGAAGTTCAAAAAACCCTACTTATCAGGGTTGTGACAGGAACAGATGTTGCCTGGATCAGATACATGGGGTACAAGCAGTACCTTCCTCTGTTGTCTTTATTTTAAACAACTGGGAATTTAAATTAGATGCTGTCTTCATAGCTGCATCCCCCTTTGGGGATAAGCTGTCCTTCCAAAATGGTTTCTGATCTGGTAGAATAATCCATTTTTTCCTTATTGTCAATGATTCCTTATTTTTCAGTATGTTCCATTTAGGCCCCAGGACAATTATATTTTTCCGTCCCCCTCAAAAGCCCTTGAAGCATCTTAAGCCAGTTTTCCAGCAAGCATGTTGTGCCCTGTGTGTACTCCCTGGTTGCCTCCAGGAGTGCTGGGCACCAAATCACCTTTAAAAATCCATTTTTCACCACAGGTTGTTC